AGACTCAAGGAAGAAGGAAAGATTTTCAAGCCAGGGTGCTCTTCTTCTGAAATCCCCCTTGGAATCAGGTCCCATCACTAAAGCGCCACCTCCCTTCCAAAGAGAAAGATGGATGCTGAAATTGCATTAATTTAATGCAGCAAGACATTTGGCCTCCCTCAAAATCCAAGAGACAGGCTCTCCCATTGCTGCTGGGTCTTAACCTTCTTGCCTAAGATGTAATATACCAATGTTCCCCCAAAATTTGGAATCTGAGTGAAATTCTGCTCTGGGGAGAAGCACAAGGAAGCCTGGATACACCAGGGCCCAGCCCCAGAGCAGGGTGAAACGACAGCCACAGCACCTCAGAGGCCACCCTTTTAAGTGTCTAGAAGAGGGGCCAGCCCCATGTTTCAGCAAATAATTAAAATCATCCTTCCCTGGAAGCTCACCACCAAGTAACCACACCTAGCACACTACACAAAGAACCACTGGACTTTTGATTTCATCCAGACTGACACACCAAATTCAGGCCACTTGGTAAAGAGCCACCCCCTGCCCCAGAGGACAGGTCTCATCTTGGGCTTGTAATACAGGACTTGGACTTCAAACATTTCCATGTACTTCACCATGATCAGCACAGATTTGAGCCTAAATGTTTATCTGTGATAAGTACCCAAAAAGCAACAGCACTGGTTCCACGCTGGACCAAAACGGACAAGCTTGAGGTCACTCTGTGTCCCCATCACCCGTTCTCTTGCCATCCCAACAACCCATCTCCACCGTGACCACAGCCACCCCTGTGCACCCTGCAGGCACCAGCAGCGCAGCCTCACCTCATTCTCCTCCTCATTGTGCAGGGGCTGGGTGTAAGCATCCGGCTTCCGGATCAGCGGGTCCACCAGCACAAGGAAAGCCATGTACAGCAGCAGTGCCCCCACCACGGACAAGTAAATGATGATGATCACCTGCAGGTAAGGACAGGAGAGTGAAGGATCAGTGGTGTAGATAAAAAGCACCACAGAGGCCAGGAAGGTCCCTTCACGGCCACTTCTGATGCCTGATCTCTTCGCTCATTCTTATTTTGCTCACTAGGAAGTCTCCTGCACTTCCAGAAAGGCTGATGAGACGTAAGTGCCATAAACTGTGCTGATCTACTCTGCTCTGTGCCAATTTAGGCCACGTGCCGCATGTGAAAGGAGACCAACAGGATGGGTCCCCAGTCAGAGGTGCTTGGCACTGTCACATCCTCAGAAGGAGCCTGGGCTCGCGTGCTCCTCGCTGCCAGGAGCCTTCCTGGCTTGGACACGGTGCCCCTGGCCCTACCATCCTGTGAGAGTTTTATTTTCCCTTTCTGGGCTCTTCTCCAGACACCAACCAGTCTCGCAGAGCCTGGGATGGTGTGGCAGAGCAAGAAGAAGGAGCCACAGGGAACAAACCCACAATTACCTTGATGGTGGTGGTGCTGCGCTCCTCGTACTTGCACTCACACAGCAGGCAGTAGGCCTCCACGTCGTTCCCTGGCACCGGCATCGGCTCCACAACATGCAGGCAGTTGCTGCAACACAAAGACACCAAAATCAGTGACAGGACGTGGTGAAACCCATGCTCTCTGGAAGGATGGTGACTTTTTTTGCATCCCAGCTCTCCTGTCAGGCTGATCTGGATTTAAAAGCTCCCCTCACAGCTCAGCTATCCCAAAGTTCCTGGCATGGACTGCCCAAGCACCTTCTGCAGGGATGTGGTCCAGGTGAAAGGGACTGGAGGGTACACCCTCCATCTGCTGAAAGCCATGGTTGTAGAAATCACATCTTCCAGATTCCCAAATCTCTGCATTGAACACCACCTCCCAAAATGGTTTCCTCTGCAAACGCACAAGAATCACTTCCTCAGCACCAGCTGGGACCTCTGGAGCGCTGCCTGTCACGGACCAACCCCTCATACTTCAACCCACGACTCACCAGTCCTTCTGCGACACGTTCTTGTTGTAAATGTGCCCGCTGATGTTGCGGTACGGGGGACAGATGCACTTGCAGCGGATGTCCTCTGAGCTCTGCAGGGGCAAGAGGGGGCGGCGTTAGGGAGTGAACACGTGCATACAGTTCTGCTGCCCTCACCACACAGGGTTGGTAAGACAGAGAGGATCACGCTAGGTCTTTTATTCCTGCACTGCTTCTTTCCCATCAGTAACTCCACAGTTTCAAAACATCTTGAGCATCTCTGCTCCAGACACCAGGTACTTTTCCAACATTTTGCAAGCTCCAAAACACAGCAGGAGGCAGGGCAGAGGTCACTGTCATGTACACTTACAGCTCTACATTCACGGCTCTACATCAGATAAATACACACCTGCTACAGCACTCCTTATCTTTGCAAACTACCACAGCAAACCGGTTGCTTCTCTGCCGGTTTTGGTTCCGTTGTACCACACACATGGTTCAACGCTCGTGTCTGAAGCTGTTCACTCACCTTGCTGGCTTGTGCCGGAGGAGAAAGGACGCAGCACAGCAGTGCCATCAGCAGCGCAGCGCTCACACACTTCCAGGGGCTCTGGGCAAACATCGTGGAAACCTGAGGAAACAACAATGCACACATCCAGGACAGACGATCTCAGCTGAATGTGGCCAGAACGAGTTCGCCTGAGCTTTTTTTTGGCCC